CTGGAGAGCTGGGCAAGGAGGAACTTGATGAAGTTCAACAAGAGCAAGTGTCGAGTGCTGCACCTGGGGAGGTCAAACCCCATGCACCAGTACAGGCTGGGGGGTGACCTGCTCGATAGCAGCTCTGCTGAGAGGGGCCTGGGAGTCCTGGTGGGCAATAAGCTGACCATGAGCCAGCAATGTGCCCTTGTTGCCAAGAAGGCCAATGGTATCCTGGGGTGTATTAAGAGGAGTGTGGCCAGCAGGTCGAGGGAGGTTCTCCTCCCCCTCTACTCTGCCCTGGTGAGACCCCACCTGGAGTACTGTGTCCAGTTCTGGGCTCCCCAGTTCAAGAAAGACGAGGAACTCCTGGAAAGAGTCCAGAGGAGAGCTACTAGAATGATAAAGGGACTGGAGCATCTCCCCTACGAGGAAAGGCTGAGAGAGTTGGGCTTGTTCAGCCTGAAGAAGAGAAGACTGAGAGGGGATCTCATCAACGCATACAAATATCTTAAGGGCGGAAGTCAAGAGGACGGAAGCAGTCTGTTTGCAGTGGTGTCCAACGACAGGACTAGGGGCAATGGATGCAAACTGAAACACGAGAGGTTTCAGTTGAATATGAGGAAGAACTTCTTCACTCTGAGGGTGGCAGAGCACTGGAACAGGCTGCCCAGGGAGGTTGTGGAGTCTCCTTCTCTGGAGATATTCAAAGCCCGCCTGGATGAAGTCCTGTGTAGCATGCTCTAGGTGAGCCTGCTTTAGCAGGGGGGTTGGACTAGATGATCTCCTGAGGTCCCTTCCAACCCTTACGATTCTGTGATTCTGTGATAAATAGACTAGGATAATAATTCTCTCTCTAAACTAAGACATAAGTCCCTTCCCATTATATTTCATTCTATGCTTCTAAAACAGCATGTGTGTGAGCCTCTGATGAGATATGAACCGTGCAAAACTAAGCTATAGAGGTATGTGTAGAATTACATGTGAAATTCTATAACTAAGCAAGAGATCATGCAAGTCAAGGATAAATTTTTCCTGTTGACATTTTATAGATATTCTTTCAGCTTTGCAGAAACTGAACTGCACCCTACAAGCTTCACACAGCAACCGACGTACCTGAATCTGTGATATCTTAGAACAATGTTTTTTGGGGCATCTTCAGCAAACTGGTAAGAGACAAGGATGTTGTTCTAATTCCAAGTGACGGGACACAACGTGGATCAAAGCACTTGTGCCAGCATGTAAATAATTACATACTCTTACTTAGTCCAAAGCCTGTTGTTGTCACTGGAGGACTCTTGTTGAATCACATGTTCTGTATCAACACAATTTCTAAATTCCTGTCCCAACATATCAAACGCGAGTAACATTTTCTGGGCATGGTCTCTATTAATTATGTTGAAGTTCTGGTCTGGAATAAACAAAGGGGGAATCATTTTAGTGCAATGCAGAAAGATCTGCACCTATATCTTCAGGGATAGGAAAAAGGAAACAAAGTGTATCTTCAGTAGCCACAGGATCCAAAAT